ACCCCATACTCCCGGAGAACCCCCCACAAAGCCCCCCTAGGGACACGGTCGAACGCCTTCTCCAAGTCCACAAAACACATGTATGTAGACTGGTTGGGCAAACTCCCATGCACCCTCCAGGACCCTGCTGAGGGTGTAGAGCTGGTCCAGTGTTCCACGACCAGGACGAAAACCACACTGCTCTTCCTGAATCCGGGGTTCAACTATCCGACGGACCCTCCTCTCCAGGACCCCTGAATAGACCTTACCAGGGAGGCTTAAGAGTGTGACCCCTCTGTAATTGGAGCACACCCTCCGGTCCCCCTTTTTGAACAAGGGGACCACCACCCCAGTCTGCCAATCCAGAGGAACTGCCCCCAATGTCCATGCGATACTGCAGAGTCGCATCAACCAACACAACCCTACAACATCCAGAGCCTTAAGAAACTCGGGTGGATCTCATTAAGTGCTATGTATGTTGGGAAAAAATATTCGTACCCATAATTTGATAGAGCGACGACGCAGATCCGCCCCCCTCCTCCTCACCATGGTCCTGGTGTCTGAACAACATGGAGGCAGAGGAACTGAGGAAATTAGTCAGCCGGCCTCATTTATTTTTGCAAAATTATTCTATTTAGCTAAATATTATTGTTGACGGGCACAAGCAAGCCTCATGACACACAGATAAAAATGAAAAATAAAAAAATTGAGAGAAAAAAAACTCAAAGGGCACTAGAGGCATCAAGGATAAAATTGGCAGGGGCTTAAGCCCTCTCTGCGCTCTCCCCTCCTTTCCTCCCTCTGCACGTGCCTGTCCCTTGATCTTCTACCCGCAGTCTGAGTCCTCCACCATTTAGGCGTTCGTTCCACGAGCTAGACAGGTAAAGATTGCTGATAGGCTGCTTCCAGGCACACACACCACTGCACAGGTAACCAGCATCAACTATTTTGTCCTTCATAAAGAATCCACAGTGGATCAAAACAATGTAAAAGCAATAACACGCAGTGACAGAATCTATTAAAAAATCATGCACAAAATTAAACTATTTACACTTTAAAAATAAAAGCAAATTTCCACTGTGTGACACATCCCTATCTATCTATCTATCTATCTATCTATCTATCTATCTATATATATACACACACACACAAGTATACTACATATAATCAAATTCTATGAAACAATTAAATGTTTTTTTAAAAGATCAAATAATGATTACATTACCTAAGTTCATCTACTAAATTAACCTTTTTCTTAATATTTGCAAACTCTCTCCTCATATCTTCTCTTTTTCATATTTATGATGTTCCAATAGTCATGCTCTACTGTTTTGTTTTTCAGTGTTCACATTTATCAGTATTATGCTTTTGTATTTAAAAAGTGCATGTCCAAATCTCAATCTTGCCATTACTGTTCCCTCCTTTCTCCTACTGTCTTTTGAATTTTAAGAAGCCATCTTCCTTTCCTTTCTTTGTTTTGCCATTCTTTCATCAGGTTTTGCTTGATAATACTCTTCCTTTCAGATTTACTTGTTTTTACTATAAAACTAACAGGTTTTTGAAATGACATGTTATTTGCCATCTCATTTCCTTCTACTCCAACATGTTCTGGTACGCACACAAATGTTAGTTAAATCTATATAATGTATGTAATAAAGTACGTCTTACAAAATGTCTGATTGATTATATTTTAAACTTAATGAAGAGCAAATGAAGAGCTTGAGTCTGAACAAATTAGTTTGTAAATGATTTTGTCTTCTTCCCATTGTACATTGCCAACATTTCTCCTGTATATACTGATAATCCATCTGTTATGTTTTCCCATTTTAAGTTAAATTCTATTATCACAAATGCTATTCTTACTTTTTTCAGTTTTTGATGCGTATGTATAGATTAGAAAACATTGACAATAACTGTTTATATATAGTTGTACTGAATGATTATGATGTAAGCTTCATCTTTCTTCTTTTCCATTAATGTTATGGAAAACACTCTATTGCCAAAGGTATTTGCTCACTTTGGCAAAATATACATATTTGCTCACATATTGCAAGTATGTGAGCATACTTGCAAGATGGTGTTCCAATCAAAATTGGAACACCTTATTTTGATTTCCAAATTATCAAAATCAGGTATTCCAATCACTTCCATGGTCACAGGTGAATAGAATTAAGCACCTAGACATGCAGACTGATTTTACAAACATTTGTGAAAAACTGGGTCGCTCTCAGTCTGAGTTCTACACTGGAGCTCAGTGAATTCCAGTGTGGAACTGATAGGATGCCACCTGTGCAGCAAATCCTACAGCGAAATTTCCTTGCTCCTAAATATTTCACAGTCAGCTGTGTTATAAGAAAATGGAAGTGTTTGGGAGTAACTGAAACTCAGCCACTAATTGGTAAGGCCACATAAATTGATTGAGCGTGGTCAGCGGATGCTGAAGCGCATAGTATGAAGAGGTCACCAACTTTCTGCAAAGTCAATCACTACAGATCTCCAAACTTCAGGTGGCCTTCAGATTAGCTCAAGAACAGTGCGCAGAGTTTCATGTAATGAGTTTCCATGGTAAAAAGCTGCATCCAAGTCATACATCACCAGTACAAGTGCAATGCAAAGCATCAGATGCAGTGGTGTAAAGCCGCTGGACTCTGTTCCAGAGAACAGAGGTGTGTTTTCTGGAGTGACGAATCGTGGTTCTCCATATTGCAATCTGATGGACAAGTCTGGGTTTGGAGGTTGCCATGATAACTTTATACTTAGCACTGCATTATGCTAAGTATAAAGTTTGGTGGAGGGGGATTATAGTATGGGGTTGCTTTTCAGGAGATGGGATTTACTACTTAGTTCTAGTGAAAGGAACTCCGAGTGCTTCAGCATACCAAGACATTTTGGACAATTCCATGGTCCCAACTTTGTGGGAAAAGTTTGCAGCTGGCCCCTTCCTCTTCCAACATGACTGTGCACTAGTGCACAAAGCAAAGTCCTTAAAGATATGGATGGCTGGTGTGGATGAACTTGACAGGCCTGCACAGAGTCCAGACTTCAACCCGACAGAGCACCTTTGGGATGAATTATAGCGGAGCCTGAGAGCCAGGCCTTCTTGCCCAACATCAGTATGTGACCTCACAAATGCGCTCCTGGAGGAATGGTCAAAAATCCTTATAGTTGAAGCCTTTCTAGCTGCAAAGGGAGGAACAACATGAAATTGAACCCTATGGATTAGGAAAGGGATGTTACTTAAGCTCATATGTGAGTCAAGGCAGGTGAGCAAATAATTTTGGCAATATAGTTATGTGGAATACACCAAAACTTATGAAAAGGTCTGGTTGCTTGGGTGTGTATGAAAAATATTAACTGAAATATATATAAATGAAGGGCTCAAGTTTACCAGATCTTTATGTGTTCTTTTGTGAGAAGAAAAAAAACCCTTTGATATGTTTATCAAAGTTTAATAGACCATCCTTATAACCCAATTTTCACTAAAGTTGATTTGTTTATACATAAAGAATAACATCTGTTTGAGAAACAAAATCTTATTTTATTACCCTAAAACATGTTCTAAATCTTCTGATGCTTCATTGTGTCACCATGCAAGCAGACTAACAAACACTTTGAAAACAGAGTAAGTGAGCTGTTAACCGTTTAGCCAGTCTTTGAAGTGAACACTAAATCTAAAAAATAATACATAGCTTAACTGAGAGCAAGCACAGACTTTTTTTTTTCCTACTAACAATTTCAACAGAACAAAGGGCTTTTTTCTAGGTTTTGTTTTCTCTAATGAACAGAAGTGAGCCCAACAGAAAACATGGTCACAATAAACTAATAAATTATACACACAATAGAAAAATTAGTTATTCTGTGCTAGTGACTTGATAAAACTGCAAATACCAAACATTTAACACTTAAGTATTGGAGTGAGTTAAGTAATAGAAAATTGTCAGATTATTACCAATACACTTGGAGTTGAAATACATTAAAACACAGTGAATACAGTGCTCATATTCACAAACTAACTCAGTGTGGCTGTGAGCTCCTAAAAGTTTGAGCATAAAAATCAAAAGTTTTAAACAACTGAAAAAAGGTATAAAATGTCTCCATCAGCAGCAGACTGTAGCATTAAATAACAAAAAAATCTGTCAGTGAATGAATCTACTCATTCTACTCCTTTAAATGCTGTTAGTAATCATTACAAGGAAGTAGTGACTGAAAACTCCTTTGGCCTCTTGCCATTGTTACAAATACCTATAATAATATGAGATATGATCCATATATAAATATTACAGAATATCGTAAGAAATTTGGGGATTATAAACAAACATAAGCTTATTAAAAACACATATAGTCTTTTTAACTGTTTAGAGACATACTAAAATACATCACAGGGTGGTTGAAGTCAACTCAGAAAATTATTTAACCAGTAAAACAAAAATGCTATTTGTTCCCCTACAGAATGAAGAAAAAAGGTATAATGAAGGCAATATATTTACTCTGATGTAAATACATAAATGTGTACAGTCAGCCACATTTAGTATTCAGCCAATTTAGCTGAGACTTTGTAATGGTTTTGGTAACTAAGCAGTGGAAGCCATGATAGGAGTTAGCAAACTGTAACAGTGGCTCACAAGATGTTGGCTCATGTAAAAAATATCGAAAGTGGTTACAGGATATCTCAGGCAAAAATGAAGCACACTAAAAGTCCCGAACACAAAGTGCACTTACAGTCAAACCAGTATACAACAGTAACAAGAAGAGGACAATGCATTTTCCCATACAGACCAGAAAAACTTGAACTTCCCTTTTGATGCGTTGATTCAGAACACAGCAGCAGGTACTTTAGAAGTTGGCACATCTGCTTTTAGAGAGTAATTAAAGCTCAACAGACATTCTCCATCACAGTCTGGGACCCTTTCACAATGTTTATAAAACATCCTTTCTTTTAGATGTAATGTGTATGACTGAGATTCTTTTCATTCAGCACCATGCTTGGCTCCAGCTTCATCTTAGAGAGGTTGGTGGTTCACTTTTTGGTGTGGGCAGGTATTCAGTAGCTGTGTCTCTCTTGTTGAGATTTATTGCCTAGGGAGTTGCTAAGGACATCAGGCTTCAGAGCTCAAGGAGGTTCGTGTTGGACTGGGAGGGAGGCGAGCCGCTGCACTGTGCTCAGTGCGGAAGCTGTAATCATACTAAAAGATAAAAATAGCAAAATAAATAAATAAATAAATATGCAAATTTTTCACCTCCAAAAAATGTGTCGGTATTGGTCAACAACACATCAATTAGACAATTATATTTGGTAAATAAATTTTGGTTTAGTTTTGTTGAGTGTTAGTACTACCAAAGTGGCATCTTGTGGACGTAATGTGTAACTACAAGGAAGATTTATTAATCCTCATTTACTTCTAGACACAGCAGGCGTGATTAAGCAAAAACAGAGATTACACCATTTGATAGCTGATATTCAATATACTTCAAAAATAACTTCAAATAAACATGTCTGTTGATATGTCCTTAGAGTTGCAAATATCTATATTTCTGCTGTCATGTATATACAGCACCTTGCAAAAGTATTCGGCCCCCTTGAACTTTTCAATCTTTTGCCGCTTTTCAGGCTTCAAACATAAAGATCTAACATTTTTATTATTTTGTGAAGAATAAACAACAAATGGGACACAATCGTGAGGTGGAACGAAATTTATTGG